GTTTGGAACAACAATCGCTCAGTATTATATTTAAACATTGCATATAGAATACGTCCAAGATTTTCAAATATTTTATTTGATTCTGTCCGTTCCCAAAATTAAATTCCCTTCTTCTCACCTGTATAAATTTTGGTGTGACGGCAAGGTTCTTGCATCTGGTCAAAAAGTTTTTCCGGTTCTTTTCTCTTGCCAGTTTTGCCTTCAGTTTTCTATATCTCTTCCTCAAAACACACTCCTCCACTCGATCCGCCATGCCATATTCCCAAGCATTATTCTTCATTGTACGTACTTTCCTGACTGTGTATTTGGAGTATCATAATACTCCAAATACATGCCAAGGCGTAAAGTAGCAACAACGCTACACATTGAAACTGATGATGGTGGAAAACACCGAAACGTTTTTTTAATTGATAAATGAACAATAAATGACTGAAGAACCCAGGATTTGATTTTAAATTAAAAATATTATATGACAAAATAGTTAAATAATAAAATCATATTCCATTTGATGATCTTGATCATTTGGGAATATTTGATACTGCGTTTTAAAAATTGGTGAATTTCATTTAGGTATTCCTCGAATAAAAACAGTGAAATGAGAATATTTTTCACCATTTAAATCCTGCTCGACTTCTAGATTCTCTCAACATTTGACTGAATGTGAATGTTATTTGTGTGTTATATGATATGTATGAAGAAATGAATTTGATGAATATTGGGGACACCGATTGATGTATGTCATATATACAGTATTTAAATGCCACTAAATATGCATATGGAATTTAGTCCATCTTCATATTTAGTTGATGTCGCACATTCCACTCGCAGAGAGAAATCGGCGATTCAGATTTTTTCCAATTAAAATTCACCAGGCCTGCGTGATGATTCAAGTGCCACTCGCATTTTAATCGCTTTTTTTCGCTACAAGACAATGGATGGTTTATTGTATTGTATTGTATTAAATGAACTTTAAATTCAAATAAATGTAATGATGTCGCGAATACAACATTTTTTTTACTTTCAGCTGCTGTTCTAGACTGTTAATGTTTTCCAATGTTCATTTCTATGCCAGGCAACGTTTTGCCAGCGTTATAAAGTCAAAGTAAAAGTGGGCAAGATGAACTACGTTATAACAATTTTGATTTTAAAGTTTTCGTAGTTTTTTATTTAGATTTGTTCTTGGGGTTTGCGATAAAGTTATGCTGAATATTACTGCATTCAACTTATACTTTTTCTGTTTAGAAAAACAAGCGAGTTCGATCAATTATGCAAAAATATTATCTTCCATTCTTTTGATAATGCTGGGAATTTTTTTTTATTATATCTGAAGCCTTTTGAATAATTTACAAATTTACAGATTGAACCTGTAAAATATTTGTAACCTGTAAAATACTTAAAAGTGGTGCTTCTTGAGGAAAATGTACTTTGTCACTGTATTAATGTAAGTATTTGTAAGTTTAAGTATGTGTTTAAAAAAAGTAAACTACATGTGAACATAGACAACTTTATAAAACATTTTTTTTTCTTAAAAAATTACAAGTAAAATTATTTTCAAACCTACAGGATGTAACTGATAAGCGCGACACAGTGTGGAAAAATTTTTTTGTTCATAAACCAAATATCTCAAAATTGGCCGCCGATAAAAATGCGCGCCCTCAACGCTCTACCCAGCAGACTATCACTTGTGTAATAATCAGAGTAGACTGAGAGTATATGGGCGTATTTGTTATCCTACAATCACAATGATTTACTGAGTGGAGCGAAAAAAACTCGCCGGATTTAAGTGGAAAGTGATCCAGTAAGAAGGGGATTGATTGAATGGCTTCATCGAGGAGTCTGGCTCCATACAGAAAACTCTCTATGTAGCAAAATAATTAAATTCCACCAAGAGGCACCTTGATCTAGACCTAAAAATAATTTCCACGCCTGGAAAATTCAGGAGGAAATAGGGTATTTTACACTTTTTGTAAATAAAACTAATAACTAATAAATTATTTTCCGGTACAATTGCGGAAAACCACAAAAAAATAGGGATTTTTTCAGTTTTCTATTCAGACAACAAAATTCACTCTAAAATTTGAATTATACTAAATATTACTTTAGAAAATCTTATCGTAGTTAAACAATTGCTCGTAAAAACTATTGAAAACTACTAAACTTAAACATGGCAAATATCAGCTCTTTTAGATATAATTAATTCTTTATATGCGATAGATAGTACCCAAGAAACGTATAGTCTGACCTAATTAATTTATAGAGTGAACATTAATTCTGTAGCAAAACTATGGAAATCAGGGTTTTTCCGTATTTTTCCGACATTTTATCGGAAGGTAACATAGTATTGAACAGTTTTTACGATCAATTGTTTAATTTGTTACGATAAGATTTTCTAAAATGTAAAATTTACTCGAAGGTTACACGATTGTTTAACACGAAGTTTGTTAGAAACCTAAAAAATCGTAGCAAATGTGGATTTAAAAAATGGACATCAACGTGAAAAATATATATGGCCCGCGTATTATGATTATTGCATGAATCAATTTAAGAGTAAACACCTTTAAAATATTATATGGTTTGTCTTCCACGCTCATTTTTAATAAAACTTTATTAGGAAAATACTTTTGGTACTAATCCTGTGAAGCTAAGACTCATATAAAATCATTGGATGATTGAAGAAGCATTTACCTAATGAAATTTAAAATATTTACTTCTAATTAGTATGCACTCACGTTTTTCTTGACGAGCTTTTGCAATGTATATTTTCCCGTATAGTTATGTACAAATGAATTATTCCATACAAAGCGTGCAAAAAACTCAACCTGATTTAACCAAATTGCAAGATCCAAATATTATCTATTCCTGTGAACGAATAATCAGAAACGATCACTTTACTGCCTAAATGCAAATTGCTGCATAATCGAAAATTGATGAGCATTTGACCTATGGGCATTACAAATAATGCATTCCAGGTGGTTTTCCCCTCCTTTTCTCGAATCAATCAGACACATTTGTAGAGTTCATCATACAGAGTACAACAATTCATTGCCCATTATTCATTATTAACAAGTAAATGGTACGCATTAATTCTTCCGAAGGCACTATAAGATGTATTTACCGTCCGCGATTGAAGACAGTAGGAAAAACTATCATCGACTCGCAAATCGCCACATAGAAGCCGGTGAAGTGAAGGAATCGTCTTCGCGTGCTTAATCTGTTCTGCTGCTGGGTCTTCTGCAAATTCAAGAGGGGCGAGTGAGTGACCCACAGAAGCGGTAAGTGTGACTTCCGGCCTACTTCGATCAGCAGGATTTGGTGTTTTTGATGACACTGTTTCGATCCTAGGTTTTTACGAGTACTGCTCATGGGTCAGTAGTGCTCGGTCGATCGCAGTGCCAGCTGGAAGTGTTCGAATTTCGGCTTCGATTTTTATAATTGTTTTATTTTTTGTGATTCATTTGCGTTTAGGATTAGTTTATATATTGGGTAAGTTTTTCCGATGTCTTGTTTCCAAGTGGCAATATCAGCTCATCAACTTTTCCTTCTAAATAATGCGCTAAATAAATTATACAAATCGCCGAGTGTGTCGTCGATTTGAATTGTTGCTATAACTGTGAATTCTTCAGATTAGGAATATGGTTGTATTTTATGGTAACGGAATAACAGGATCGACTAATTTGGACCAAACGAGTTGACAAGTAAACGTGCCCCGTCAAATATGAGAATCGCCACTGTAATTAATTTCGCATAATTTATCGAATATAAATATTAACTATATACCCCCTTAAGATTGTGTGGACGCTCCGTTTTAACCGAATTGCTGAAACTCTGCTAAAACACTAACTCTGCTTTACAAAATTTAAATAATTTGATAATAATCATTTATAGCTTCAGAACTGAAAAATTCATATTTCTATAGTTTTCACGATAAAAAATAAACTTTTTCAACCATGATTTGCTCCCACTCGGTTAATTTTTTGTTGAAATAAACATTGAAAAAATCAAAGAAACTGGAACTTTAATACATAGTTTGGATTTAAACAGACAAAATATGCTTTCAATAAATACGAAATAAAATTATTTTAAAGGAGTCAAAACGAAGCTGCCTTTACTGTTATGAGTCACCAGCTGTTCAGACATGGGAAGATAAAAAATGTGAAAAGTCAAAAAAAATATCGCGTTAATAAAATTAATGAACCTGCAAAAAAAACAGATTGAAAATACAATTAATATTCAGTCACAAAAGGTAATAAAACAAAATCTAGTGACAAAGGAAAACTGAATTGAGTAATTAAATATGCAGGAAATGTAATTGGTATTAAAATACCAATTTTATATGGATATTTATTTATACAATTTTTTTAGAATACCACAAGATTTTTAACAGCTTTTTATTTCGTTAATATCTAGGACACAATTATTTAAAGTAATAAAATAGCAATAAAAAGTAAGAATTTTAAAACAGAATTAATTAAACATTCGTTTGTTGAAATTTTTTACGATGTGCTTTAAAATTTAGTAAGTAATGTTTTTATTTGAACACAAGATAATGTATAATTTAAATTCGTTGCCGATTTGAATCTTTTTGTCCTCAAATACATTGTTTTTCGATTTGGCATT